GTTCTCGTTGCTATAAGCCTGTGCCAGATATGCAACCAAATAAATAAAATGCTTTACCATCGAAGGACATTTTGTTTCATAAACAAAACAAACATTGCACTTATTTTGATTAAGAATTTCTATGAAATAAAATATAATTTAAAGGTTTTAATATATCTAATCTATTTACGATTAGCTTAATTGTACGCCCCGTTGCTACTCACAGGCAAAGCATTGTCATTCTTCCAGACTGATCTCAGATATTATTTAAAGAAAGACTCTGGTGACGGATTTCTCAAAAAGTAATAAGTCTACCACCGAACGTAAATTAGATTTTATTTTATTTTACCTCAAAGAGAATCACTGCAGTTCAGTGCTCTGCAGTAGCAAAATTATACGTAAAAAAATACAACGTGTAGTTATACAACACGCTACTAAAATGAAACTCCTTCAAACACACAAACATACCGGGATAGGGGTTAAGGAATTGGCGTCAGTGGCGTCAAATACAAATATACACTTTGTTAGGGCTACACTATACACGCCGAAGTTGCCTGTAACGAACGTTGCATTGAAGCACGCTTACGGCTCAAGCGATCCCCACTACGAACTCGACTACATGGAGGGGGAACATCCGTTGCATGATTTCGTTACATGGGAACTCGCATGAAACGAACTTACCCTACCGTGTGTAAAGAAGCTTCACTTCATAAAGTAATAGAAAAAATCAGTTACATAAATCCCAGAGAAATTCAAATAATAACAAGTAAAGATGAGATGGCATTCACTATGATAAAAGGTATTTACTATACATCACGTTTGTTCTAATCATTGTCATATCAATTATTAGAAGGTGGAAAACACTCTTATTAGGTACTAACGATAACCGATAAAGACGTAAACAATAAGTTTATTTATTTTTATACATAAATATCTATTAATTACGTACAAAATGTTAAGTAATAAAATTTATTAAATATATCACAATTAATTCCCTTTTTTGTTAACTATGACCTTAATCTATTGAATAAGGGGCTTCACTATTTGTAGTTAGGTAATAGGTTCCAGTTGAACTACAAAAAAGGTAAAAGTAAATAAAATAAAACACAAATAGCAGAATGTGGTAAAGTATTTAGTTGTAACATCCAACCAACGTTTCTTATCAGCCTTCATCAAAACTACGTAAGTTTTATTAATCCCATATTTTGACTTGATAATGGGAGCTATATATATA